GGACATTCGATTCTTATTTAATTCTTCGGCTCTTGGTCTAGAACCAAGAACTAAATCAAACCCATTGATTTTCGTTTCAGATACTTGTTCGGGTAAATAACTTAAGAAGAGTTGCTCGGTTCAATTTAGTTTGAGTCAGGTGCTGCTTAGTTCGATTCAATTTGGAAGTTTTGTCCTACCTTGATGGTAATACATGTGGTTTTAAGTAAACATGAAATTCCATCCACCCTAGGGGTGACAACTATATTTTTATAGAACTCTTTCATGAGTTGAGGATGTGCCTTTTTTTTTTCCAAAGTGGATACTGACACCCAACCCATTTTTTCTGAAATATTCTTCAATATGAAATACGGGGGACATTAATACTAATTTTCGGACCTAGGGTTTGTATAATCCCAAAAGAGTGAGTTTTGGGGATTTTAGTGGGAGAGAAATATGGATATTGAACGAATCAAAATAGGAGAAGTATGTTAATGGACGTAACATATTCAACTTTGTCTAATTTTATGGGTGAGCTCATTGGAGTGCTCATAGGCTTCTATTCTTCCATTTTAATCTTTTGAGCATATCAATATGTAAGTTTACTTGATTTGAAGTCCAAGAAGAATTTGAGTTCTACCATCATGCTTATTTCAAATTCCTTGCTCATAAATTTTGAAAATTCTTCTCAAAGAGAAATATTAGCTTCACCAAAAATAATATCATCAACATAAATTTAAATAATAATCATTTCATTCTTTTTAGTTTTGATAATGAGGGTAGTTTCCTCTTTACCCATTAAGAAGCCATTTGAAAGTAGAACTTTGCTCAATCTTTCATACCAAACTCAAGGAGCTTGATTTAAACTGTAAAGAGCAATCTAAGTTTAAAAAACATTAGCCGAATACTTGTGATTTTCAAAATCGGGGGCCTGCTATAGAAAGACTTCTTCTTGTCCATTTAGAAATGCACTTTTAACAACCATTTGATAAAGAGTGCAAAAGTTTCCTAAAAATTGATGCCTTTTTCTTGACTATAATCTTGGACTGTTAATCTAGCATTGCACATTTGTTCCATTTTCATCTCTCTTTTTTTTTTCTCTAAAAACCCATTTTGTACCAATAATGGTTTGATAATTTGGTTTAGCGATTAAATCCGAAACATGATTTCTTTCAAATTGATTTAGTTCTTCTTCCATAGCTAGAATCCTAAACTCATCAAACTCGTCTTCTTTAAAATTCTTTAGTTCAATTTACTAAATGAAAGCCCAACTATTAAGATGATTTCTAGTAGAAGCACTAGCGGCAATAAATTTAGATGGACATCAATAATAAGTTCTTTTAGGTGAGAAGGTACTCTACTTTGGAAGGTTTTATTTCATTGAGTTGAGCATTTGCTTCTTCAGTATGCTCATCTTTTGCTTTTTCTCGTTTTGATCTTAAATATTCATTTCTTCAAAAAGGAATTTCCAATCCTATATCATTAATAATACCTTCTCCCTATTGAGAATATTAGTTTCGTCAAATGTAACATGCATAGATTCTTTAGTGACTAGAGTTCTTTTTTGAAGACTCTATAAGTTTTGCCAGTCGATGAATATTTTAGAAAGATTCCAATATTGAATTTTGAATCAAATTTTTAAACAATTTCTTTTGTGTTTAAATAAAATATTTTGCAAAGTTCATAAGAATTTTTGATATAATCGATGGAATTCTATTTTTTCAAAGTTCATAAGAATTTTTGTTTTCTTTCAACTAATTAAAACTTTAATAGCAATGTAGCAAGCGGTGTTGATGGTTTTCTTTTGTGTTTGAAATAAAAATTTTCTTGCAATGTACAATCCTTCATTTCAACTATACCATTTAGTTGAGGAGTTTTAGGAACTGAGAAATCACATTCATATCCATTTTCATTACAAAAATTATGGAAGGCCATAGTGTCAAATTTCCACTATGTTCACTTCTAATATTTTCAATAATGGATACCTTTTTATTTTGAACCATTTTACAAAAGTTTTTAAATGCAAATAGCTTCATCCTTTAAATTTTTAAAAATGGGAGGTAAATTGAGAGAAATCGTCGACAATGATGAACGCATAATGTTCACCACTCATGCTAGCGGTTTCAGAACGTTCATCCACGTGGAGAAGTTCTAAAGGTTTTGTAATTGAAGAGTGCTGCTTATGTTTGAAAGAGTTTTCACTTGTCCAAATTGATATGCGTCACAAATTTTATCTTTTTCAAATGTTAAATTGGACGAACCTTTAACAAAGCAATTTTTGAATTTTTTTTTTAGAGGAGGTCCATGCTAACTTTCTATGCCATGGCCAAGTATCAAATTTCAAACTTCATAAACAATTTTCTTCACTTTCAAATTCAAGGTTTATGATATAAACATCTTTACTTCAACTTCCTATAAACATAACCTCTTTAGATGTAGCATTTTTATTAAGGCATTTAGAAGAATTGAATTTAATATTGTAACCTTTATCATATAATCGACTAATATTTAGCATGTTAAATTTGAGGTTATCAATTAATACAACATTCTCAATAAAAGGAGATGAGTCATTACCAATGTTTCCAATGCCAATCATTTCCCTTTGGCATTGTCTTCAAAAGTTAAATGACCTTCATACTTCTTTTTGAGATATGACAATAGAGATTTATCTCCTATCATGTGTTTTGAGCATCCACTATTCAATGGATATGAGTTGGCATCTTTGGTATTCTCTATCAACATCTTTAATGAGCTCCATTACAAGCTAACTATTAGTGAATTTACGATCAAAGCTTTAAGATCATTAACGATTGGTGAAGCGAATAATCTTATCAACAGTAGGTTCATTTTATTTCATGAAGAAGTTTTCAAATTTTTTAACCCAAAGATTAATCTTGGTTTCTTTCAGTTTGCTAGTGTCCAAGTGCATAACTTCTAAAGCATGCCATATATCAAAAGAGAAATCATATATGCTAATATGATTAATTTCGTTTTTATCTGAGACACAATAAAGAATGTTTTTGGCGTTAGCATTTTAATGATAATTTTCTTTTATCTCATATATCTCTCTAGGTTTAGAAATGAATTGATCCAGTTTATCATCCTTTTTAATAATCTTTTTAAGCTCATAGGGGACAATATTCAATAACTTTCAAAACGGTATAATCGATAGATTGAACATAAATCATCATCCGAATTTTTCAATAACTATAATACGTGCCATCAAAAAGGGAGGATGATTTGTATAATGCCCCTCAATGCTTTGAAGATTATGGTTAGCACTAAAGATTGTGAAATTTTTAAAAGTGAGCACCGTGCTTTGATGACATTGATATCCAAAGAATAACAAACTGAGACTATGACGGTGGAATTGGTTTCCAAAATTTTTTCAAGAAATTTATCCAATTTAGACAAACTATGAATGAATAAAGCAATTTGGTAACTGTGCACAAATACATGAACGAAAAATAAGAGGGAAAAGATTGCGAAAACGATGTAATTGTGGAGATTCGATCTAGAGCAATGATCTACATCCTTCGTTGCCATTGACAATTTCAACAATTTTACTAAAATGTCATGGAGGCTCAATAATGGTAGAAACCTCAAACAAGACATTTAAAAACCTCAACTGCTCATTCACTAGAACACAGACAAAAAATACATTTATTGAGAGGCTACCAAAGACCAACAATTGTCTTCCAAATGCTTCTCCTACCTATGTTATATACGAGATGATCAACCCCAGCGATTATCTCACAAACTATAAGAGAAACTCGTTATCATAATCCAAATGATGTGCAGCCTATTTGTTTCCTATAGCTTAAAAGAAAAGAGCTTCGACCTTGAAGTCCTCATTGTTTTCCTATTGATGTATGCATAGGAAATCATCTATTACAGTTTTCTTACTTTTTGATAATTTGAGATTGTATGCTCAATTAAAGTTTTGCTTATCGTCTTTTAATTAATACAGTAAACTAGAATTTTATTACGGTATTTTAATTTTTTCTAATAGAAAATAAATTTCTATTTTATTAAATAATTAAAATCCCTTGGGTTGATATCCCCAAGAATAAATAATCAAGAGGAACCTCAAATTGGTTTTCAAAACTTCAAGAAATTTATCGAAATTAGACGAGTTATGAATGAATAAAACAATCAAGTAGCTATGCACAAATACAAAAGTGATAAATAAGAAGGAAGAGATTGTGCAAGCTTTATAATTGTGGAGGTTTGATCCGAAGCAATAGTCTACGTCCTCCGTTACCAAACTCTACGTCATGAGCAAGGGCTTTTCCACTAATTTTTATTGACTTGTGGTGCAATTCAAAGCCTTACACAGCTCTTGGTGACTTATAAACAAGATGCATTGGTCATTATACAATATTGAGCTTTAGGGAATCTTAATATGACTTAAACTATTGAGCTTTCTAGAACCTCAATATGACCTACAAATTTGAAGAAATGATTTTACATTAAATGATTTGATAATAATAAGTTGCAGGATCAATATAATTTTGCTCAATAATAGCTCACTTTAATGCTCGTAAAAAGTCCTACAATGTGTTTCTCTTTCAACAAGCAAAAATATTTGTTGAGCTGGGACAAGCAATTGTACATCTGCTTTCGTGTCCGGACACACAAAACTCGCCATTGTGCACTAGAGATCAAAACGTAAAAAAAAAAAAAAAAAAAAAAAGTGACTGTTACATGAACAGGAAATTCGCATGGACGTTCTGGATGTCAAGATTATCCTCACATTCACTACTTGATTTGGACTTCTGCAGTTTAGTGTGTTTTGACTTTATTTGATCCGATGTGAATATTTTTTTAACAATATAAGCTATTGAATGATGCTTTTCAAAATATGATCTAAGTTCAATTATAATTTTGAAAATCAATTTTGCTTTTGATTAAAGATAACTTTCACAAGCGATGATCAAAATAATTTTTAGCATATAAAAATGATATTTTTTTTTAGCTTTTATCGTTTATTGCTAAAAATTGAAGCTGTTATACATTTATAGATAAATAGAGAAGTGTCTAGATAATTGAGCTTCCTTTGACGTTTGACTTCTGTAGCTCTTGTCTTGAATGATTTGACTTGAATGCTCTAATTTCATCTCTACCTTCATTGTGAGTTCGATTTGTAATGTGGAATTCTTGATAGCGAACTTTTTGTCCTTGTCGATCAATATGACAATGATTGCTTTGGAGACTTAAATTCTGTAGCTAGAATCAAAATTAACTTTTTCGTTATGATCAAAATATTAAGGATAAAATCAACCATAGATCAACATTGGTCTCTTGAAAAAAAATCCAATTAAATAAAAAACTAAGTGTTCAATTATGTGTCAAAATTTTTGAATTTTCTGTGGTATTAACAAGCTTTTTATGCCCAACTTTCTTGCAATAATCTTGCATTGCAATGAGTTAGCACAACTTCATCTACAAAATAATTGTGTCAGAACAATTGATAAAGATGAAACAATTGCTTCAAGAATGGAGGTTGTTGACAGTAAATTTGAAATGAACAAATTCCTCTAACCTAGCTAGGCTTTTTTCCCCTCCTAAACTCAGTGGTTTTGATGCTCAAACTGGAGCGAGATGGAAAATGCTATTTGGATTAGAGATTTGAATTTGCATGCTTTTATCTTCATAGATAGGAGTATTTATAAAATTTCTTCGAGGTTTTGGACAATTAGGTCATTCTAGAAGGCAAAAAAGTGGTGGTTGTTTAGTGGTGAATTGTAACCGATTCCATTATATATACATGTGTTATTAATTGGTTTAAAAGTCATGTTTTTCAGATTTATCCACATGTATTTTAATAATGGCTTTTGTCGTCTCGCCTCTTTCCTTCTGCGAGCCTTGTGATCACCCTCACGTGTCTTTTAAATTTTGCATAAGGGGGTGAGCTTGTAGGACAGATTTCTTAATTCAATAAATAGTTCCCAAAATCTTATTTATTATTCATATTAAATCTAGGACTTTGTTGATTGTTGAGCCGCGAACTTATATGCGGCACGTCTTGATTTTTTTCCCACGATTATAGTCATTTTCTACGTGCACTAACAAGCCTATTTGCTTATTTCTAGGTTAGAGGCCCATGTGTACTCAATGTACGTGTAGACTACTCATGATCTCGCCCGTTTATTTCAAGTTTTGACCAAGTGCCTCTAAGTATTTGATGGTTATGATTGTTCAAAATAATTCAAATGGCTTTGATTGTTTCTGTCATGATTTAATGATTTACGCCTTTTATTCAAAACTTATAAGTAGATCATTCTTTTTAAGAGTATTGTTGACTATATATTTATGATCAACGAATTCCTCTTATCTAGCTAGGATTTTCTCCTCTTAAACTCTCTAATTTTGATGCTCAAACTGGAGTAAGAGGAAAAGAAGCTATTTGAAGGAAGACATTTAAAGTTGCATGGTTTTCTTTTTTTAGACGAGTGTACTTATAGATTTTTATCAAGGCATTGGCGCAAATAGGTATTTTTGAAAGACAAGAGATGATTGCCTTTCATTGGTCGGCTTGTACTGATTCTATTATGCATTCACATTTTATCCAGTTATCTTACGTACTTGGTGTTCATTGGTTCGCATTTTAATAACGATTTCTTGGCTGTCGTAGAAGAGTGTGGTTTGCAGTTCCCTTCGACGAGCTGTCTATGTTTTTATCATCCTTCAACTTTTAAACTTCACCAAAAGGATGCGAGTTTGCAGGATAAATTTCTTGGTTCAACAAATAGTTAAGGTTGAAGTATAATTATTTATATTTGGGCTACGAACTTCAAATGTTGCTCTCTCTCTCTCTCTCTCTCTCTCTCTCTCTCTCTCTCTAATGATAATTAAAATCCAAATTATATATAACATTTCTCGACTTTAATGACGATTCACGCATGATTAGGGGGACCGTCTTTTTGACTTGCTTAATTGAATGTGCATGTCATTCACGCTAGTTCATGGATGTTTTAAGTATATGCCTTTTTGTATTTATAGCTGAGATTGCTTGACTTTTATATGATCAATAGCAATTCTATTGGGATTCAATGGCTGGGATGTGTTCTTGAACACTATATATATGCCATGCCATCAACTACTTGTATTCGTCTCCACATTAAGAAATGTGTGAAGTTATTTCCCTTGCTGTAGAATTTGAGGAGGGATCTCTTTTTTCTCTAAGAATCATTATAAACATTGTTAATGATTTTTCTATCATCGTTATTGATTCCACTATAATTTCTTGATGAGTCCCTCTTCGTTATTAAGTTAGTATCGCATATCATTGAACGAGACTTTGGGATTAACCCAATCTTTCTTCTATCATGCTATGGTTGAACATCTACGACTTTGATGTTGGTGCGTATGATTCGAGAAATGGCAAAGAATGATTCAAAAGCTGGCAAATTTGCCATGGTTTTGCATTTTCTACAAATGTGCACTTTAGCCCATTGTGGAAAAGTGATTTATGTGACTGGCACTACACTATGAACTATGAAGCAGTCTCGTTCCATTTCACCAAACCTGATTACACCAAAATGCTTTCGATCTGCCCTCATCTTCTGATTCAAGCGACCATTGTGGTTAGGAACAACGGATATGCCGAGTAGATTAATTCACAGATTATGCCTTCTAGTTAGGTTATCTTTATATATTCTAGGCTTAGTTTGCAAATATATCTTATTTGTAACATCTTTATGTCAATGAGCAATTTTTATTTTTCATATTTGTTTTGCTTAAGAATACATAATTACAAATAATAAATTGATTTTGTAGAGTTCTTACTGTACGAATTTAAATAATCACCAACTTTGTTGACTTCTCACAGGAATCAAAATAATTACCCAACTTTGTCGAGTTTGCAAAGTAAATAATCAATTAACATTTTCAATTTGCATTTTATTGATAATAATTTCTTTGAAGTTGATGTAACCAAGGAAGTTTAAAATTTTTCCATCCACTCTTGTAATCCTTATATGTTCTTGATCCAACAACTTCGATTGATGTGTATGGTCCTTCTCACTTGGACCTAGCAAACTAGAGTTTATTTATTTGTTTACGACAAATACATTCTTAAGTCTCCTACTTTGAAAATTTTCTTATGAACCTTGGAAATTAAATATCTTTCTAACATTTTTTGGTATATGGCTAGCTTATCTTGAAAATTATCTCGCTTCTCCTCTAAAAGGTCTAGGTTTACGTTTATAGCCATGACATCTTGTTCTTTTTCATATCCTATTCTTCGCGATGAACTTACATAGATTTCAACTTGCACCGTGGCTTCCATCCCATAAGGTAGGTAGAAAGGGATTTCTCCAAGAGCTATTTTAGTAGTGGTGCAATAGGAACATAGAATTTGCAGTAGTTTATCATCCCATAATCCCTTTGTCGTATCCAGCTTCTCTCTTAAGATACATTTTAGCCCCTGTTTGGCCCCCATTAAATTTTATCACATTACATTTCATGTCTCTCTCTTCTATTTTTAACCACACAATCTTCGATAAAATAATATTACACTTATATCGAAATTTTTTCCTTCTTTTTTAACCACTAATTTTTCAAAAAACTACTATTCCACCCATTTTCATTTCTAGAAAATGGGGGCCAAACGGGCACTTAGTGTTTTATTAATTGCCTCTACTTGTTTGTTAGGTTGGGGATTATATTGAGAGGAAAAGTGTCTACGAATCCCTAGTTAGTGGGGCAATACTTTCAATATTTTTTCTTAGAATTGTGTACCATTATTTGAGATTATAGAACTTGACACTCTAAATCTATAAGTTTTTCCATATGAATTTGCAAGTATTAGCCTTAGTGATAATTGTGAGGGGTTCTGCTTCTTCTTACTTGGTAAAATAATCTACAATCATGATTATGAATCTCATATTTGACCTTCCTCTGGGCAATGGTCCAGCGAAGTCAATGCCTCATTTTGCGATGGACTAGGGACCACTATTGGTTACCAACTCTTGTATGGGTTGTCGGGATATGGACGTGAACTTCTGGCAATTTTCACACTTTTTAACGAAACTCATTGCATCTTCTCATATTATGCCAATAATGTTCTTGTTTCAAACATTTTACTCTAAAGAGTGTTCGCTAGAGTGATTCTTGCATATGACCTCATTTATCTCTTTCATCACATTCATCGCATTACCCTCATTTATACATCTAAGCTCAGGAAATGTGTACCCTCGCTTGAACAAGATATCACTTTCTAGTGTATATCTTGCGCTACTTATACAATTTTTGTACTGACTTTTTATCTTCAAGGAGCGTATCATTTCTTAGATAAGATATGATTTCTTACTTCCATGAGGGCTTATCCTGTATTAGCAACGTTTCTTCCCCATTTTGGCTAATTGACAGTTTTGGCAACAATTCAATAGGTACTATCTTATTAAATAAATCTGCATCCTTTGTACTTGCTAGTTTTGACAATGCATCTGAATATTCATTTCCCTTTCTAGGGATTTGAGATAGCTCAAAGTTACTGAAGTGTAGAGATGATTTCATAACCTCTGCAAGATTTACAGCCATCATTTTATTTTGGCCTCAAAATAGTTCACCTGATTTACCACAAATTGGAAATCACTTTTTACTTCTATATGTTGAGCCTGCATTTTTTTGCGAGTTGTAGGTCGGCTAACAAAGCTTCATACTCAGTCACATTATTGGCTGTTTTAAATACAAACCACACTGCATAGTTCAATTTGTACCGTTTTGGGCTTATCAGAATTATTCTTGGTCTAGAGCCAGTATCCCCTAAAAAAATCCATCTATAAAGAACTTTCATGCTTTCTTTTTTGGCTCTTTCTCAAGAATAGGAACATCTGATAGTTCTACAATAAAATTCGCTAATGCCTATGCTTTGATTGTGGATTGTCCCTCATACTAAGTCTCGATTATCCTTACTCTACTGCCCATTTCATTAAACTTCTTGATGTATTAGATTTTTGTAGTACTTGCTTAAGTGACAAATTGGCTAGTAATCTGAAAATATGGCTCTCGAAATATGGTCGCAATTCACATAAAGCTACAACTAAAGCAAGGGCTAGTTTTTTTCATATTTGGACTTGCTTCCACACCTTGTAGAGCAAAACTTACGTAATAAATTGGTAGTTGTTGCTGTCCTTTCTATTTTGCTAAAACGGAACTAACATCCACTTTAGAAACTTCTAGATGTAGGATTAAATTTTCCTCATTTACATGTTTAG